TGCCTAATACAAGAATGTCTTAGAAGTTTAAGCCAAGAAGACATTGTTTGCCTACAAAAGAAAAACCATACTCACTGAAATAATTTTTCTAATTTTAGGTTAAATGTCTAAAAATAAAAAAAAAAGGCTTGTTTTTTATTATTATTTTTTTTCAATTTCCTTCCACCCCCGATTTATTTCCTTTTCTAAGTTTGAAAAGAAATTCAGGAGCACACTGTTAAAGCACATCCATGACAGCTGAACAGAAAAAAGAACCTGTTGATATCCGCAGGATGTAAAACGTCCTTACTGCACGTGCTAGGAACCGACCTTGTCAGCCCCCGTTTCTTTTCGTCCCTCCCTCCCCGAAAAAGCGATCAGGTGACAATGCACGTGCGCTTTTTCCGTTCATAATCAACCAGATGTGTAAAACAAACTGTGCAGGTCACGCATTTTTGCTTGCTTATAGCAGCCTCAATGAAAAACAGTAACTTTTATTCCCAAGAAAAAATTCCAAGTGCCTATGGTTGGGAATGAATACTTTGTCGTGAAACTCTGAACAAGGGAATAGGTATTTTGTCTGTTATTTAAAAATTATATACATTGTCCAAAGAGAAATTTCGAAAATTGTGACTATGAGAAACTTGTCAAGGGTTCATCTGTGGGTTGCAGAATGAAATGTCGGGGTCGCGAAAATTTCCTTTAGATACATACCTGAATTTAAAGAAATTACATTAAGGAGACATTTAATGAAATTACATTAGCTGACATTAATGTGATTTATCATCTGTCATATGAAGTCCAAATGGAATTTATCAAACTATCGAGTGGCTCAAAACTGAGTTTCAGCAAAAATCCTTGACGGAATTCTAGATTGAAGCTAGAACTGGAATTCCCACAATTTTTGACATTCGCTGTCTACCATTCAGCACCACATTCTCGTGTAACGACTTTTTCAGCTTTAACCCTTTCCGGCATGCTACCTTTTAAAGTCGGAGTTTTGATTAAAAAAAAAGGTAGGCAGTTTAATTAGGCTTAGAGGAGTACACAAGTAAAATTTTGTGAAGTTTAATCGTTCGTTTATCGATCGTTTTAATTCTGTGGGTATGCCCAAAGTGGGCACACTGATTGAACAGAGCTTCGAAAAGAGTGCTGAAACGAGCATTGTTGTCAATGAACTGACCGATGAGATGCGGAGAATGAAAGAATACAGACTCTCAGTTGTCCTAGATTATCGGTGAGCCCTGTCTGGGCACACCTAGGGTTCGCCGTTTCATTTTAGGCAAGATTTCAAGGTAAAAATTTAAAACTAATATAGAATAAGGAGACTAGCATACAGCCAAAAAAATTACCTAGAAATTTCTTTTCAAACAATTCCTTTTATACCGTAAAAAAATTTGGAAGATTTCTTTGAAAAATGAGGGTCTTAAGAAACTAAACATGACTAAAATATATGGACTGTTTGTGTTGAGCTGCCATCTACTATAAATAAAGAAGGTTCAGAGTAACCTATAATAACCTAAAAAACCTTTTCCATTCAATTTTTCTGTGCGTACAGAAGGAAATTTTAAGTGTTCAGACCGGACACACTGTGCCGCATAGGGTTAATGTTGATTAAATCCAAATGTCGTTCAAAGCTGAAAAGAATTGAAGGCTTTTTACGTCCAGCAGTGTTAAATACTGCACCAAGATTTAAATTGTTATGCAACAAAAAACAACAAACGTACGTATAATTAAAACATGATTTTCTTTAGTTAATTTTTGTATACCTGAAACATATCCTATGACTCTTACTTTTCGCATGTTTACCAAAGAAATAAATTATTTATCGGAAAATATTTATTTTTATATCTTTATTCTATATTTAAGGTCACAAAAAAAAATTTCGATGATGAAAACGGGTCAGAATGAAAAAGGTTTAAGAAGCGATGTTCTAGAGTATCAGAATGAATTTCCACTATACCAAAGATATAAATCATTAAATTAGTGCATACGAGCGTTTTAACCACATATAAAATATTTTCACTTTATTTAAAATAAAAAATACGCAGTATTATTAATTATGACTGTATCATTAATTTTTCACCCTTTGCTGTTAACAGTGATTAAGCTCATAATAACTAAACAAGTGGTAAATCATAATTTAATTTAGAATCACTGATGATTCATTCACCGGAGCAGCAGTTTCTAAATCAGACTGAGTCTAACAGATAACGCAATAATAATAATTCATCACTAGTTTGGTTCTCGTCAATTAAAATTTAAGATTACTAGAATATGGTAAAGCACACACGGACTATTTGCTTATAACAGGGTTCCCAAATTGTTACCGGCAGAATGAGACGTGTATACGAAGTATGTGAAGAAACTGTGAATCATTCGGAAATATTTTCGGCCATTTACGGAAAATTCGGAAGCCCGGATTATAAAACCATACGCTTTCAATTTGGATAGTATCTTGGATGACGAAGAACTGATGGAGAACCTTTTTGGAGTTGCGCATAAATCGTGTTCTTAAAATGCAGTCTGAAAGCAACACTTTGTGCTCATCCCATTTGCGATGACATGCGAGTCTGGGTTTACTGCCTTTTTGTCTAACAAAATTCAGAAATCGCTTGGTTGCACAAGCAGAAATGTCAATTACTATCAGCAACTAAACGCCGGGATTTGGAAAACTCTTTAATTTTTTTGAAAGATTTGTGCAAATGCTAATTTTTGTAATATTTTCTTATTCCCATGCTTCATTTTTGTTATAAAACAATATACAGTTGTTATATAATAGCAATTTTGTTACACAATTTGATTATACAACTTCCAATCCTTTAGATATTGCTTCAAAAGCTGCGAGAACATATTAAAAATTTTGTAAGGATTTGGGACATGAGAAAGTTGGGAACAGTTTTTTAAGAGCAGAGGTGCCTTCTGAAGATCTTTCTAAGAGAAGCTGGTTTGTATTCACGTTACGAAAATATGAAAACCAACCATGCAGTAACAGCCTATCTTTAGAATTTCCGATAGACAGTCTCGCGCGCTGGAGATAATTTTTCTTTTCCCTATACAGTGTTGGCATTGCTCGCTTTGAAACCATTGAGTTTGTTAATCCAAAATTCGTAAAGAGTTTACAAAATATGAAAAACACAATTTCGAAATTCAAAATTCGGCCGTCCAGTTGTGATATTCGGGTGAAAGACTGCATTATACAAAATTTGATGGCACTAGGTATCTTTCCTTTTTTTTTTTTTTTTTTTTTTTTTTTTCCACAGTGCGAAAAACATGCACACATTCATGCAAATTCTCTAATATTTAATTTCTTTAAATATAAGACAGGGCGACAATATTTGCGGGCAACTATCTGAAAAGTGATACAGCCGTTTATAGTGAGCAAAATCTCGTTTTGAGACTAACGTTCTTTTGATTTATAAAAGCATTATTAGTAGAATGAAATTTATGATGTCTTTCAAAGTAATAATTATATAAATGTTATGTTTTGTAACTTTTTTGAAAAGAGCTGTATTAGATTAATATCCAAAATTTCGATCCCGAATTTTTTCATTTTATAAACATATTCATGTGTTCCTTAGTTTCCGCAAAAGAAAGCACAAGAATTAATCCACTGACTAGACATTTGTATTTAAAATATCTTCGAAAAACTCCTTACGTTGCAGAGTAATTTTATTAAAAAAAAAAATAAAGTACTTTGATCGCATGTTATCTTCAGAGCCTTGAAAGAATGAAGAAAAAGATATGATTCAATCAAAAGTATCCCGCAAACAGAATAAAATGTTTCCACGTACTGTTTCTATGAATTTATAAACTCCGCATGCAAACAGCATTTATTCTCTAAGCCTATATTATTTTCATTTATATTACAGACATTGTGTCCTTTTTCTAGTCACAAATCTGAAACCTGAATAATTAGTAACTTTTTAATACAAAGGTAATTTTTAAGACTACTGTTTGGATGTCATCTTCATGCATAACTATTCCTAATAACTTCAAAAAACGAAGTATTAAAAAATAAATATTTTTTGTATATTTTCTCGTGTGCATGTGGTATTGTCGATGCCTTATTAAGCAACACCTCTCACACTTAAGTAACTTTATTAATTCAACTATATCCTTCGAAAATGCACACACTATTACAAACTTTGTGAAACTAAACTATGACAAATGATACCCTGTACGATTTAAGATTAAATGGAGGTGTTTTTTTTTTTTTTTTTTTTTAACATGTAAACATGGCCTAATTGATGATGATTATCTGCCAAAGAGTAGATACCTTCGTGGAGGGTTTCTGAGGGAAAACAATCAATGTTTACGTTACACATTAGCTATAAAAAAAAGAAAAACACAAATACAGCCTAATTAAATGGCATCACTTATTTACTGGTAGGCTACGACTAGACAGTTAACAATCATTATATAGAATTACTTCTAATGCGAATTCTCATATTTAGCTGTAAATAACAATTATCGCAGGAATTGGACGGTATTAATAATCCCTTAAATAAACTGTAGTCAATAAAGAAAAAGTTTTAAAATTGTGCACAATAATCAACATTCCATTCTGGAAACCAATTTTAGAACTATTTATTGTGTACAAGTATATTAGTTTTAAGGCCCTTTTTTTTAGGGGAAAGAGGTAAGAATTGTACTACTTATACTAAACTCATTTTAAAATACTTCCTAAATTTAATTTATAGTAACAAGCATGCATTACTTTCACAATTAATCATGTTAAAAATACGTAGCTCAATATTATTACAGACAAAACAGGCAACGCATCAGGCGTAATATTATTGATTTAATATTAAATCACAGAATAGCTTCGATAAATGAACTGTCAATTTTATTTTAAAACATATTTTTCACTGTATGGTACTGCTATTAGAGTAGAAATGCTATTAAACAACTGTTCTACTTAATCTAATACCTCGATTGTAAACTAAAATATTTCAGTTTATTTTGGCTGCCCTGCTCCTACATGTTTAAAAACCCGCCCGTAAAAAGGACTTCCTTACCTTGAGGAGAGGCAGGCTTTAAGACCGTAGCCGCCAAGACGGTCAAGCCTAACAACCAGCCCAGATGATGACACCGCGGCGGCATTCTCCTCGAAAAAGCAAAAAAATCCTAAACTCTGCCTTCGATCACATGGATGATGCTGTCGCGAGTTATCCTAAGGTATCCAGTGTATTTATCCACACTTTTGAAACAGTTCTGATCACACACAAATCCAGTTAAAAGGAATCTTGTGGCTAGATGTCCATGGAAGGAATGCACCACGGCCCATTCGACCTGTTGTTTCACTTGTTATACAGTCGGCTCAGCGAGAACCACACTGCTCGATCAGGGAACAGCAGGTTTGCCGTGATCGCTTGAGTCTGATCTTCTTGGCGACAGAGTGGCAGTAAAAAAAAAAGTGTGCCAAATTCTTTTCTGGGAACGAATCGGTCGCCAAACTCCGAGCGCCCGCGTGTTTCTCCCGGAACTGGATGATTATTTGAAAGGATGCTGCTGCTTTTCAATTTGACAATAAAGGATGTTCGTTCATTTACTGTACAGTGTACTGTCAATTATCCGGCCTAGTGCCGGAGAAGCAGGTTACGGATAATTGAAAAACACGGTTAATCCAAATTATCAGTTTTCAAGCATATTGTGTTTATTTCTTAAACAATCAAAAATTTTCTTCTATTTCAACGTTTAAAGAGTTCATCATTGTATTTGTAATCCATTTGGTCCGAAAGAGTCCAAACGAAGGCCAATAGTTTCAACAGATGGCATTGCTGACTCGGGACTGGTGTTGTTTGCCAATACCGTTTTTCCTTGTATTTTCAGTATCACTTTCTGCCTCTTCTGTTCTAGTGATGGTTGAAACGATATCCGCATCACTCAAACACTGAGCCCATCAGTGGCCGATCGGTAAAGTTCTCGAACACTGGTAGTTTGGTCCGGGGTCCGAATTCCGGCGAATGGGCCGGCTGCATGGGTGTTTTCATGGTTTACCCTGTATGCAACGTGTATACGAGCCAGTTTCCTTTACAATGTTCTCCACGAAAGCATCCCTCCCTTTAGGCAGATAGCTCTTGAGTACTTTGCCGTAATTAAATACACCAAACCAAACCAGTCAAAAACTAAATGCTCAGCTCATTCGCATTGCCATCGAACCGTTCCTCGATATTTTTCTGATTGACATTTTAGAAGAATTTTGCATTTTCAGTTTTTTGACATATAACTTCAGTTATTGCTTTGACTTATTCCTTATAAGATAAATCTATGATTTCTATGTTAGGAAAAATCTTTCCCTCTGATCAAACAGTGTTACTGGTTTTACTTTCGACCCATAGCTCTATTTTTTTTTTTTTTTTTTTTTTAGCGTGGAGCTGGTAATCTGCAAACCGTACCCGGATAATCAAGCGTATAGTTTTTGTCTACACTAGTCTTATTATGCTTAAATTAATTTAATTATATATATTGATAGAGTACTAATATGTAATTAATTTCATAGTTTTAAAGGGGTAATAAGAATTACATGGACGATGCTGAGCAACTGGACTAATGAAGCAAATTCCTAGAATGTCATCGTCAATTGTGCTAACAGAAAAACAATCAAAATAGCAATTTAAAGCGCTGGAACTTCCTTTAAAAAATGAATGCAGATTATTATTTATTTCCTTGTATGTTATTTTAACATATTATAGATTTAATTTTGTGGTGTGCCTAGGCTAACCGACGGCCTCAGGCGGCAGAAAGTATAGCTACGCTACTGGGTTTATACGTTGTATAAAAGTAAGCCGCAGAACATCGTACACACTTTAAGGATAGCTATATGTGCGACCACTCACCGGGACATAAATGAATCAAAAAGTAATTAATTTAAATAAATAAATTTATTTAAATAAATTATTTTACTTTCAGGGACACCTTCTGTTCAATGTTTGAATTATGTGTTCGACTAGCAGTGTCATTACGTAACCAATACAGTCACCTAGTGACTAGGGCGAAATTTAATAGGATACAGTTTAAAACAGGGTTTAAATAAAATAATAATAGTTATTATTTTTTTTATTTTATTTATTTATTCATTTTTTTAGTTTAGTTTTTGAAGAGGGATGAAATTTTCTGTCTTTCTTTGAAAACCCCTGTTGATATTCGTTTAGTAATTAAATAAATGTTGTCTCAAACTGTGACGCTATTAGACTGGAATTCAGTTTATTTACCTGACTAATCAAATAGCTTTTTCTCTTATTCTAAACCTTGGCCATGATTCACACTTGCTTTTTTAACCACCCTGCATATATAGCGATGACCATTCAATTTGTAAATACGCCGGTGACTATCCAAAAAGATAATCCAGCTGCTTTGGAGGTCTGGGCTGCTGGACGGCATGAGGTTGGGAGTTCTGTCCTCAATATCTCCCTAAGTCGATCAGGCCTCCGCACTAAGCACGTTCAAGATAACCAGCCATGATAATGAGCAAAACCTTTGTTTTCAAAATTCTTCTAAAACTAAACCTCTGAGGTTTTCATTCTTTTTTATCTTACGAAGCTTCATTCTGAGATTTGTACACCCCTCACAGTTCTTTTTCTTAACCCCTAGATTTAGAATCTGGAATTTCTCTCTGCCATTCTTCTCTAATATTTTAGTTAAAAGGAATTTTCAACAGAAGCTCATATCTTATAAATTTCATGGAGAGAATTTTTTTTTACTGTGTAACTGTAAAATTATTTAAAACGTTATTTAAAGAAAACTGAACGATTTCGATGTTAAATAATTTAAGCTCAAATTTTTGTATTTCATATACATTTCTCAGATAATTTGTAAGCCAGTTTGAAGAAATGTTACATGAAACCTCAAAGTTTGTAAAAATATTTATTAACCCAAACGGGTAATTTTCCCAGAAGGGCTATTATTTCATTTTAGCATTTTTCGCAGTCCACTATTGAACGGCGTTTTACTTTTCAAATTGTTACCACTAAATATTAGAGCTTTGCATTCTATGTAAAGAAATTAAATAATAAAGAATTTTCATGAACGTATGTACGTTTCTCACACTGTGAGTAACAGCGGTATTTAAAGGCATCCAATTTTAAATAACGTAGTCCTCCACTTCAATATGGGCAGCTGAAAGCCCAAATTTGGAATTTATTTTATTATCGATTTCATATTTGTACAACTTAAAGGAATTTTTGATTAGAAAACTCAACGATTTCAAAACGAACACTGTACGGCTTAAAAAATCTTCAGTGCATGAGACTGTGTATCGCAAAACTCTAAAGCAGGGCTTCTCAACGCAAGTACGTAGGTGGTACGCAAGAGAAAAATAGGTAGTAAGCAAAGAAGGAGAGTATTTTTAACCATTAAATTAAAAAATTAAAACCCCAACATCTTGATTGAATTTTTTCTCTAACACTCGTAAATTTATGCGATCTGAGCTTTGCTCAGTGGCGATGGTAGTAGTACTTTGTAGTGGTGGTACTAAAGTTTTTCAATTTTTGTTTAGATGGTACGCTTTAGTTTAAAGGTTGACAACCGCTGCTCTAAAGATATGCTCTTTTTCAATATTTTGTGATATTGCTGTTAAATTGAATTTTTTTGTTTAAATGCGAAGAACATATTTAATAAATAAAGGTAACATGCAAAACATTAACTAAATTCTCCTTTGAGAGTAATATAAATTTTGAAAGCTTTCAGATTTTTAAAAATTATTATCATTTTATGAATTTATACACATATGATAGCATTTGATCGTCATAACTGTGTAAGTGTCAAAGATTTAAGATGATTTTAAATTCATTGTGTTTGTCACAGTGTAACTTAACGGTCTCGAGATTACAGAAGTTGTTCTTGAATTACCTCATAGTTAATTCAATATTAAGGTCATTGTTAATTCCTGAACATTTAAGTCTCTCTCTCTCTCTCTCTTTTTTTTTTTTTTTTTTTTTTTTGTTACTATAACTTGCGAGAACTCTACCTAAGACTTAAGCGACTTATCGCTATATCTTGGGAATTACCACAAAGACTGTGAAGGATGTTCAGGAACCTTTTTATTTAACTCAGATAAAGTTAATAAAAGGCTCAGTTTGTGCTTATAGAACCAGCTAGCATTTATGACGTAAATCAAAATGTTAGAAACCTAAATCTAAACTAAGTTAATTGTAAGTTAGCCCAAAGGCTACACAGACAAAAACACAGCAAGTTGGCTCAAAAACCTAATGTCGGCGTGACAAGGCCAATGGCGAGAATAAAGCAACAGCGTAGGTTACCTGCTCTGGAGAAAATCAAGTAACAAACGTTGCTTTCAGCAGGCAGAACACGCTCTGATTAAACCTTCCTTTAAATACTATCTCTTTTCTATCATATTTGAATACGCGCGAATTAGAAATCAGCATTCTGGCAGGGAAATGGGAGGCGAGAAAGAGATAAAAGCTAATTAGCATAAAATAACTGGTTAATGAAGTTAATGTATACTCTACAACATAAAAGAGTTCATATTTTGTTGGCTTATTAAACTTTAATATTTTTTTAGACTCGCTTAATTTTATGAAAAGGTATAATATGCGTGCTAAAATACTATTGGCACTTCTTCAGTCGTATACATCAACTCCTTAACTTTCATTCCAGAACGTGACTTCGGGAACTTCAGAACTTTATGCTACTCAGACAGGGTTTCAGAACCAAATTCCATAATGTCAGGGGGGCAAGGTGGTCAGCCTTTTACTTGTCTGTTAAGTGTTTAGTTTTCCGTAGTTTTTTAATACAAATAGTAGCAGTATATGTAACAGATTATGAGTATAAAAACTTAACTAAACTAAACTTTTATTCAAGTTTAGGTATTTATCAACATTTTTCTATAATTTTCATTGCTTAATTTATAAAATATGTTTCAAAAATCTAAATAATCTTATACATGAAATTTTCGAGTTTGGGAAAGAAACGGGGGGGGATCTTTTAGCAATTATGAATGACAAAAAAGGGCTGAAACGAATCACTGTACTAAGTCATACGGGAACGTGTACTCCTCGTACACTGCCTCCAATACTCACTGCCTCTAAATACGAATCTATTTTTCAATAACATACGCACATATGACAGCAGTAAATCCAATAGTATCTAGTACTGATATTACATTAATGAGTGAAAGTTACCTACCTGCGATTATTGCAAAATATTTCAGAAATAATGATTCATTTCCCCCCTCCACCCACTGCAGAGACTGGTGGATTAAGCAGATAATACATTAGTATCTTTTGAAACATCAACGCTATTCAAGTGTAATCGAAAGAAGGAATAATCCTCTTATAATGGATAACAGTTTTAGAAATCATATAAATATGCTT